ACCTAAATCAAATCCCTTATGATTATACAGTGGAGGTGACAAATAGATTCAAGGGATTAGATCTGGTAGACAGATTGCCTGAAGAACTATGGACAGATGTTTGTAGCATTGTTCAGGAGACAGTGACCAAAACCATCCCAAAGAAAAAGAAATGCAAGAAGGCAAAGTGGTCATCTGAGGAGGCTTTACAAATAGCTGAGAAAAGAAGAGAAGCAAAAGGCAAGGGAGAAAGGGAAAGATACATCCAACTGAACGTAGAGTTCCAGAGAATAGCAAGGAGAGATAGGAAGTCCTTCTTAAGTGAATGATATAAAGAAATAGAGGAAAACAATAAAATGGAAAAGACAATAGACCACTTCAAGAAAATTGGAGATATCAAGGGAACATTTCATGCAAAGATGGGCATGATAAAGGACAGAAAGAGTAAGGACCAGTAAAGAAGGACCAGTAAAGAAGCAGAAGAGATTAAGAAGGGGTGGCAAGAATACATAGAACTGTACAAAAAAGGTCTTAATGACCCAGATAACCACAATGGTGTGGTCAACTCACCTAGAGTCAGACATCCTGGAAGTCAAATGGGTCTTCAGATGCATTACTGTGGACAAAGCTAGTGGAGGCGATGGAAATCCTAAATGATGATGCTGTTGAAGTGTTGCACCCATGTCAGCAAATTTGGAAAACTCAGCAGTGGCCACAGGACTGGAAAAGGTTAGTTTTCATGCCAATCCCCAAAAACGGCAATGCCAAAGAATGTACCACACAATTGCGCTCATTTCACATGCTAGCAAGGTTATGCTCAGAATCCTTCAAGCTATGCTTCAGCAGTCCCTGAAACAAGAACTTCCAGATGTACAAGCTGAGTGTCAAAGAGGCAGAGGAACCAGAAATCAAATTGCCAACATTTATTGGATCATGGAAAAAGCAAGGACATTCCAGAAAAACATCTACTTCTGCTTCTTTGACTATGCTAAAGCCTTTGTGTGGATCACAACGAGCTGTGGAAAATTCTTAAAGTGATGAGAGTACCAGACCACCTTACCTCTCTCCTGAGAAACCTGTATGAGGGTCAAGAAGCAATGGTTAGAACCAGACATGGAACAACTAACTGGTTCAAAATTGGAAAAGGAATACATCAAGGCTGTATATTGTCACCTTGCTTATTTAACTTATATGCAGAGTACATCATGCAAAATGCCAGGCAGGATGAATCACAAGCTGGAATCAAGACTGCCAGAAGAAATATCAACAACCTCAGATATGCAGATGATACTACTCTAACAGCAGAAAGTGAAGAGGAACTAAAGAGCCTCTTGATGAAGGTGAAAGAGGAGAGTGAAAAAGCTGGCTTAAAACTTAACATTCAGAGAACTAAGGTCATGGCACCCAGTCCCATCACTTCATGGCAAATAGAAGTGGAAAAAGTGGAAGCAGTGACAGATTTTTCTTGGCCTCCAAAATTACTGCAGACAATGATTGCAGTTGCAAAATTAAAAGATGCTTAATCCTTGGAAGGAAAGCTATGACAAACTTGGTAAAAAGCAGAGACCACTTTGTCAACGAAGGTCTGTATAGTCAAAGCTATGGTTTTTCCAGTAGTCATGTGTCGGGAGCCGCTGGGACGGGCCCAGACTGTGACAAGGTCAAGGGATGAGAGAGGAAGCTGCAAGGCAGCTCTTCCCCTTGGGGTCGTCCCGGGGGCCCAGTATGTCCCCTTCCTCTTTCTGTCTTACGGTTGTTGGGTTTTCTATTAATTCTTGGGAATGTAACATATAGTGATCAGGCCACCCCAGAAAAGTCCAATGCTATTAAGAAAGATTCCCTAAGGCCAAGGCCTACTCTGCCTCCTGAGCATTGGGAACCTTATGACCAACCAGGAATGAAAGGCCTGTTTAGGTCTGTGACAGACCATTCACCACGCAAGTGGTGTTATGCTTGGGAGGGCATCAGAAATGCGCATGATTGCTTTGGCCCAGGACATGACCATAAGCACCGTACCAAGCCAAAAAGGAAAAGGCCACAGGTATAAATTGGCTGCTTGCTTAGAAGAGTATAATGTTCTAGATTAAAAAAGAATAAAGGCAAAAAAAAAAAAGTAAAGCTATTTAGATTCAGAAGCAGATGTACGATAGGTTAATGTTCTTTGGTCAAGAGGGTTTTCATTGTTGTTGTTTCAGTGCTGCTATTTGCCCACTGTTTCCATTCCCTTAATAAACATAGAATATTACAGGTATTTTTGTAGAATTAGAAAATGTGTAACATAGGATTTCAATAGAAGATTTATATTAACCAGCCTCACTGCCATTACTTCACTATTATTAGAGGTGTTTTGCTGCTTCAGAGGTGTTTTGCTGCTTCATAGTTAGATTGTAGACTATGTAACTATAGTTAGATTGAAGTTTTGTGGTCTTAGACAAGGAAAAATATCAAGGTTTTCTCATGGTACTATTCTCAGAAATGTCAAACATGTTTTTCATAACCCTTCCCATGTATTGTTTTCTTGTCCAAAGAATTCATACTATAGCTGGAATCTATGGGACATTGTTTTTGTCAGAGTGAAAATGTTAGTCAGTTGAGGCAAGAAGACTATGTATGGGACATTCAAGGAAAAAACCCTGTAATCGGGATTGTTCCAGATGAAATCACTGGGAAAGATATGAGGGAAAATGTTGATGGGAGTATGAAACCAACATCTGATATAACATGGGGTGATGGTAAGGGGGAGGCAAGAAAAACAATTCTATATAATCTGAGCTGTTAAAAAATATAGTAGACTAGTTCTTGCATTGCAACCAGAGCCCGTGCACTTCTTCTTGCTGACGCCACTCATCCCTTATGTATTCCTGGACCCACCGGGGCTGGACCCCGGCAGTCATGTACAGATGTGAGAGTTGGACCATAAAGAAGACTGAGCACTAAACAATTGATGTTTTTGAGTTGTAGTGCTGGAGAAGACTACTGAGAGTCTCTTGAATAGCAAGGAGATCAAACCAGTCCATCCTAAAGGAAATCAACCCTGAGCATTCATTGGAAGGACAGATGCTGAAGCTGAAGCTCCAATACTTTGGCCACCTGATGTGAAGAGCCGACTCTTTGGAAAAGTCCTTGATTCTGGGAAAGATTGAAGGCAGGAAGAGAAGGAGGCAGCAGAGGATGAGGTGGTTAGATAGCATCACCATCTCATTGGACATGAATTACGGCAAACTTTAGGAGATGGTGGAGGACAGCCCTGTCTTCTCAGCCAAAGAAGAGAGCCTCCACGGGATTCATGGGTCCTCAGACATGAGGGCTGCAGAGTCCCCTTGCCTCTTGGGGCCAGGCAGGCCACCAGGAACCAAGAAGAAGGGCCAAACACAGTCTCAAGTGACTTTTTTTTTTAATGTATTCATTTATTTGGCTGTACCAGATCTTAGTTGGATCTTCATTGTGGCCTGTGGGATCTAGTTCCCTGACTGGGGATCAAACCTAAGCCCCCTGCATTGGGAAAGTTGAGTCTTAGGCACGGGACCACCAGGGAAGTTCTACAAATGGCTTTTAGGAGAACTGCTCAGACCAACAGAAAAGCAGTGTGAGGTCCGTTTTCTTCTTGGGGGAGGGAGTTTCAGTGTTTCAGAAGAAGCTGAGGCTCCTTGGCAGCAATGCAGACTCTGCCTCAGGAGTGACTGGCAGGCACCTGTCATCTGGACACTAAGGGCTGTCTGGCCACAGGCTACCTCAGGACCGGGTGCCCTGGGGAGCATCTCGGATTGCGTCCATCACCTGGTCCTCGGATGTCCATTTTCCTGGTGTGCTCTTGTAAACCCTGACAGCTCTAAACTAACCATTTGGCATTTCTTGCATCACCAGACCACCAGGCCCCTTCAGGCCTCCCTGTGCTCCACGTGAGAGCCTGGGTGTGGCCCGCAGACCTCCGCACCCAGCATGCCTCCCCCTACAACCCTTATGGCAGGCAGCTTCCTGAGCCCCTGCCTGGCCATTCGCTGTGGGTGTGGGTCCCTTAGAGGGTGTCCTGGTCCGTCCTCAGAGGAATGGGTCCCTTGGAGGCTGTCCAGGTCAGTTCGCGGAGGGTTTAACCTTGCTGCTTTTAAAATGACCTCATTCCTCAGCGAGCCGGCTGCCTCCCCACTAACAACTCCCAGAGGGCAGGAGCTTGGCCTCTGTGAAGTGCTGAACCCCAGGGCCTGGCACACAGTAGGTGCTCAACTCTGCTGGATGACAGAACAGCACGTGTTAACACGTGTCTGTGTCGGGTTGTGCCTCTGAGTGCCTGTGGTTTTTCCTCCCAATGAGCTTGGCGGCCTGGAATGTCCGGGTCCCCAGGACTGGAGCCAGAGGCTGAGTCTCAGTCTCCATGGGGCTGCCTGGCTGACCCGCCTTGTCCAGCCTGGACTTTTGGGAGAGGGGATGTGGTCATTTAGTTCTCGTCTGTCCTCTCCTGGGCCTCTGTTCTCACTTGTGTTTCCTGCCAAGGACAGGGGAGGTGGGCTTAAGCAGAGGGAGGGAGCAGGGAGGAGGGTGTTGCCGCCTTCCATGCCCTGTCCATCCTGCCCAGTGGTGCCACAGGGTTTGCTTCCTCCTTCAGGCTTCTGCAATGGGGCTGAGCCAAGGGCTGGATCTGCGGTGCCACGAACCCACCAACCACCTTGCAGGCCTGGTCGCGGGTAGGGGTGGAGGGGCTCTGCAGGGAGTTCAGGGTGTGGACCCAGCACCTCCAGGCTCCTAGCTCAGTGCTGGGAGCTGACCCTGTCCTCTTCCAGATTGAGAGGCCAGACCTGGGTGTCTGCCTCCCTGCCTGGACAACTTCCTTCTGTGGAAGAAAGACAGCCCGGCAGCCAGAGGCGGGGGCAGAGGGCTGAGATGGAGGACAGAGCGGCGGAGGCACATGGAGAGAGACAGACACATGGCAGGGTGGGTGGGTGGGGGGAGCGCAGAGGAGGGAGTTGGACTGGGAGGGAGGCCACCGGCACTAATATAAACCAGTTAGAAAAACAGGAGGAGCAGCCAGGCCTCAAGGCCAGCCAGGCAGGGCTTGTTTTTCCAGAATGAAAGGCCCAGGAGGAGCTGGGGGTGGGGTGTGGAGACAAGTCCTGATTCCAGTTTGGAAAGAGGGCTCCGCCTACCAGAGCCTGGATCCTGCTGCTGAGGAAATGGTCCGTTAGATTGGGGGTGGGGCGTCCTCACAGTCCTGTTTCCTCCCAGCCGGTCCTACCTGCTGTCACCCCTCATTCCTTCTTGCTGCCGCATCAGCAGCCTCCTCCCCTTGCCTGGAGCCCAGGAGTCTGGCTGAGCTGGGCTCCTTGCTTGTCTGAGAACTTGGGGACCAGGGCAGGGTTCAAGAGTGAGACTCTAGCCCACCAGGGCCTGGGACCTGTGACCATAATTCAGTCCAAATGGGCAGTCCAAAAATGCACCGTGGGTTTTGCGGTTGTTCAGTGGATTTTTCCTTTCTTTTTCTTGAGGTTTGCTTAACTAGAAAGAGTGGGTTTGGTACACAGTGCATGCTCTGTTATTTCACATTTGTTTACGTGACTTTGTAAGTTTTCCCAGAGCTTCAAATTTGTGCCTTCTGTTGGGAAGGCTTCCATACCCCCCTTCCTTCCCTCTCCTCCAGGAGGAGAGGGCGATGCTCCCGGGAGCAGTGGACCTGGGTCTGGGTGGCGGGCAGATAGGGTGGGGGCACCCGGACAGGGGACCCTGGTCCCTGCCGCTCATCTCCCTGGCAGCTTTCTGGGTGCTGAAGCTGACTGATAGACCGTGGTGCCCATCATGCTGCCAGGAGGGAGCCCCTGCACCCCCAGGGTCTGCACTATTCTTGTCCCCGCCTCACAACTGAAAAAATGGAGCCCCAAGGGTCACCACACAGCCAGTAGGAAGAGCTGGTGGCCAGGGAGCCTGGGCCTTTCTGCTGGCCTGCAGGGGGTTGGGGGGAATGTCTTGGTTGGGGTCCCCCTATAGAGTGCAGGTGAGGAGATGCTCCCCCCAGAACCCTAGACCTGCAGTGGCCCCAGTGGGGATCTGTCACAAACACCCACAAGGTATCTGAGGCCATGCCCTCAGGTCCCCGCCCCTCCAGGGCTGGGCTGGTGCCCCCTTCTCCAGGACCCAAGCCAGAGTGATTCCCCTCACCCTCTGGGACACAGTGGCCAAGGCCCCAACCCCTCCCACGAGGCCAGCCAAGTACTGGGGGAGGCCAAGGGGCCGGGCAGAAGCAGAGGGGGCGGTCTGCAGACTGTCGGCCAGCCCAGGGCTCCGTGATGTCATGGCGGGTGCTGAGGAGCGGGAGGAGGAGGGGGCCGGGCTGTTTTTCTGCAGAGTTTGAGACCAAGTGAGACAAAGCGCCGGGCCAGGCGGGCGCCATGGAGCTGCGGGCCTGGGTCCTGCTCTGGAGACTTGTGCTTCTGCAGAGTGAGTTCATGGGGGGTGGGGTGGCCGGAGTCACACCTAGTCTGAGCCAGTCCGTGTTTGGGGCTAAGCCTGTCTGAACTCTGGGGTGAGGGGACACCCCACCAGGAAGTGGATGGGTCTGGGGGCCTCAGAGGTGCTGCTCACCAGGAGAAGGCCCCCAGGACACGGAGGGGCTGAGGTCTGATGTTAGATCCCTACAGAACTTCCCCTCACTGGACCCTAGAGACAGGGCTGAACAGGGCAGGGAGGCCGAGCATGGGGCTTCCTCCTGGGGTCCCTTGCACCCCCTACTTCTCTGGGACGCCCCTCCAGCCTGTGTTTCTCTGTTGTCAGGAGGGGATGGATGAAGGATTGAGGGGGAAGCATGGGGTTCACAGGGTCTGTTCCTGGGCCCCCCGAACCTGCTCCCCAGGGGTGGCCTGCTGACCCGGCACATTCCTCCGTCCAGCCCGGGCGCCAGGCCACATCCCTGGAGCAGGAATTTGGCGTGTGGGGTGGCAGATAGTGGGGTCACTCCCCACATCCAGCCTTCTTGTCCTTTCTGAAGGCTGAGGGGCTCCCGGTGGGGTGCCAGCAGCCTGAGGACCCTGGAGGGTTCGTGCAGCATGGCTCTGGGCAGGTGCCACACTGCATATGTATGTGCAGGAGCCCCCAAACCAGCCGAGGTGTCAGGCACTGGTGCTCTTGTGGCTTTGCTGCAGTGATGGTTAGGGTAGCCATCATTCCTGAAGGTGGCCCTTGGTGACAAGCACACATCCAGAGGTGGGCTGGCCCCACCAGTCACCCCAAGAAAGGCAGGTGCTGTCCCTGCAGCTCGGGCAGGTGGCCACAAAGATTAAGTGGGGGCCTGGGAGAGGTAGGGGCATAGGAGACCCCCCCCCCCCACTGTGCCCTCCTGGCTTCTCTGGACCTACCCTTACCTGTTAACAAGGTGTCCTTAGCACCCACCTCAACTAGGACTATAGAAGGGACCCAGGGGCCAAGTGGGGGGCCAATTTCGGCGAGTGACCCACATATAAAGGCTCAGGTCACCCCCTCCCCAGTTTGACCCTCACTTCCTCTCATTTTAGGTTCTGCCGTCCTTCTGTCCTCAGGTTAGTGACCACCCTCCCCTAAGAACCTGTCAGCCTCCGTGCCTTCTTGCTAGCCCCATCCTGTACACTCCTCTGGAGCCTCATCCCTCCCCTAAGAACCTGTCAGCCTCCGTGCCTTCTTGCTAGCCCCATCCTGTACACTCCTCTGGAGCCTCATCCCTCCCCGGTGACTCCTCCTCCCCACCAGGGCCATCTGGGCCCGCGACCTCCGACAGCTCCGTGGTGTCCGAGTCCGCAGTAAGCTGGGCAGCAGGCGCCCGGGCGGTGCTGCGCTGCCAGAGCCCGCGCATGGTGTGGACCCAAGATCGGCTGCACGACCGCCAGCGCGTCGTCCACTGGGACCTCAGCGGCGGCCAGGCTGGCGGCCGCGCGCGCCGACTGGTGGATATGTACTCTGCGGGCAAGCAGCGCGTGTACGAGCCGCGCGACCGCGGCCGCCTCCTGCTGCCTCCCTCCGCCTTCCAAGATGGCAACTTCTCGCTGTTCATCCGAGGTACTGGCCTGGGTACCGCGGCGGGGGGCGGGGGCCCCGGGGCGCTGGCGGGGCCGCGGGGCTTATGGCTGGGTTCCCCCCCTCCATCCCCCGGTGCGTAGCGGTGGAGGAGACTGACGAGGGGCTGTACACTTGTAATCTTCACCACCATTACTGCCACTTCTACGAGAGCCTGGCCGTGCGCCTCGAGGTTACCGACGACCGTGAGTGTGCCCCCCCAACACCCCGCCCGTGCACTTCCACCCCTCCCACCCTGGACGCCCCGTCCCGGCTCCCTCCCGGCTCGGGATCCCTGACTACCATGCTCTTCCAGCCCGGGCCGCCGGCGCGCACTGGGACGGCGAGAAAGAGGTGCTGGCTGTGGAGCGTGGCGCGCCTGCGCTGCTGACGTGTGTGAACCGCGCGCACGTGTGGACCGACAAACACGTGGAGGAAGCGCAGCAGGTTGTGCACTGGGACCGCCAGCTGCCTGGGGTGCCGCACGACCGTGCGGACCGCCTGCTCGACCTTTACGCGTCCGGCGAGCGTCGCGCCTACGGGCCGTCCTTCCTGCGCGATCGCGTGGCGGTGGAGGCGGACGCGTTCGCGCGCGGCGACTTCTCGCTGCTCATCGACCCGCTGGAGCCGGCAGACGAGGGCACTTACTCCTGCCACCTGCACCACCACTACTGCGGCCTGCATGAGCGCCGCGTCTTCCACCTGAGAGTCACCGAGCCAGCCGCCCGGCCGCCCCCGCCCCCGCGAGACTCCCCGGGCAATGGCTCCAGCCACAGCGGCGCGCCCGGCCCAGGTGCAGGAGGTATGTCTGCAGGGCAGCAACCCACCTCGCCCCCTCCCGTCCCAAATCAGGGATTCCAGTGTTGGGAGGAGGCCCCAGCGGGCTGAGGTCGGCTGGGTCGGGGCGCACATTGCGCTTCCTGACATCGTCCCGCGCACGGTCCCCGCAGATCCCACGCTGACGCGAGGCCGCAGCGTCATCAACGTCATCGTCCCCGAGGGCCGGGCCCACTTCTTCCAGCAGCTGGGTTATGTGCTGGCCACCCTGCTGCTCTTCATCCTGCTGCTCATCACGGTCGTTCTGGCCACCCGGCAGCGCCGCCGTGGAGGTGAGTCGATTGCCTGGCTGGGGTCAGTGCCAGGAAGCCTTTCCCAGCCGGAGGCGGGACTTACGGCACAGTGACCAAAGCAGAGGGATCCTCTAGGCTGGAGGAGCTGGGGAGTGGGCAAGGCTGTCCCCAACACAAGTCTCCCTCCCCAGGCTATGAATACTCCGACAAGAAGTCCAAGTCAAAGGGGTGAGTGTCCCTTCTGGCTTCCCAGGGGACCCAGCAGACTCACCCACCCTCTGACCTCCCATCATCCTCCTGCCTCCAGGAAAGACATGAACATGGCAGAGTTTGCTGTGGCCTCCGGGGACCCGGCTCTTTACAGGAGTGAGGACATTCGACTAGGTGAGGAGACCCAAGGGGCAAGACTGTGGTTCCCAGGCCTGGGATGAGGGAGGCACGTCTTTGGGGGGCCCTCACCCTGCTCTCTTCCTGCTCCAGATTACAAAAACAACATCCTGAAGGAGAGGGCTGACCTGGCTCACAGCCTCCCACCTGCCAAGAACATCGACTTGGACAAAGGTTAGTGGAGGGGAGGGAGGAGACCCCTGCCCATCTCAGAGCTGGGCTGTACCCCCTTTCCATCCATTCAGAGCCCCAAGACACCCACCAGCCTTGCGAGCAGCAGTCCCCTGCCCCCTTGGGGTTCCAGAAGTCCCTGGATGGTCCCGATGGAAGTCGGCCCATTTCACCAGGGCAGAGGGCAGACACACCTGTCCCTTTGGCTTCCAGAGTTCAGGAAGGAGTACTGCAAATAAGGCGACTCCAGGCTCCTGGCTGGGCCAGCAGCTCTGCCAACTCTTGTCTGTCTGCCTTGGAGGACTCTTCCTGACCCCCATGCAGCTCACCTGGCCCCCCTTCCAGCGGCTGGTCCCGCTGTCCAGGAACTTGGCCTGGACTGGTGCAGAGTGAGGCTGCCTCCAGGCCCTCAGGACCACATAGTCTTCCGACACGCTTGTGGGCTCCCTGGAATCTGCCAGTGCTGCAGCCCGCCCCTTCAGCAGCCCTCACCAGGTGCCCTTCTCCCCTCACGTGGCCAAGACCCTGCTGATGTTCACCAGTTCCTCAGGCTCTCCTGGCCTCTGCACACCAGGGGCTGGGAGCCCCACCTCTGCAGGGGTGCGGGCAGGACAGGCTCAGTGGGGACTCTTGGGGTCTGGGTCAGCCTCAGGGCTGGCAGTCCTACCTTCCTCAGGAGAGCTGCCTGCTGGCTCCCCTCGACTGCACCCCCCGTTACCCCGCCAGACTGTGGCGGGCTCTGCATGGCAACCCAAAGCCTATGCATTCCAGGCCTGGGGCTAGTGTCTCTTTGCACTGCGTCTGGCCACCTGGGGCCACCTCTCTGCTTACCCTGCTCCAGCCCCGTTTCCAACAAGCTGCCTTGACAGTCACTGGGCTCCACGTGACTTCTGACCTTGACCCCCTTCTCTCAGCCCTTCCCTGGGCTGGAGTCCAGGGACGAGGCCTCATTGACTCTGTTTTGGCTGAGGACCGGAGGATGGTGTCAAGATGGTCTTAGAGTGGCCAGTGCTGCCACTCCCAACACCCCACACTTGCTCATCCTGGGGAATTGCTATAGTCTCAATAAAGACCACATCGATTTTAGACCTGGGCCCAAGGATGCCTGTGCTGCTCCCCTCCGTCTCCCCGGGGGCAGAGTCTGCGCCTTGGGGACCTCAAAGTGCTTTCTTTCATCTGAAGTTGCACTGTCATCACCCCTTCCTTTGGGTGGAAGGTCTGAGTGTCCTGGGGAGGGGTCTCAGGTCCTCTTCAGAGGGTTACTGGACATGGGGGAGGGGAGCATGTTGGGGGATAAGAGGACAGAGGGCTGTACTAGTTCAGTCCTCTGAAAAGAGAAGCAGGTGCCAGGATGGGCTTCAGTGCATGAGGAAAAAGGAGGAAGCAGTGAGTGGGAGAGCCCTCAGAGTGGGACAGGAACAGGAGTATGAGGTAGAAAGAAGCCTCTTTCTCCAACCCTGACCCTGTCTTCCAAGGCCCTTGGGGGCAGGAGGGGCAACTGTCAGCCTAAGTTGGAAAACCCAGAGTGATGGACTGAGAACACACCAATCATGACCCACTGAGCGAGGAAGCACAACCACCCACATGGACTCCGTGTGTGGCTCTCCCAGCATTAGAACTCTCACTTGCCGAAGGTGAAACCCTGGGGTCGTTTTGATGAAGCCACAGTTTCAAGATGTCACACAAAGGAGACACACAAAGCCTGTCCCTTACAGTTCTTGGTTGGGGGATGGACATGCTCTGTGAGCCAGGGGAAGGGCAGCTCTCCATCAGGTCACCAGCAAGCTGGAGATGGATAGCCCAGGGTAGCAAGCACCTAGAACTTATAAGGCGCTTGGGGCAGTGGTCACTGACTGTCAGGGGCTTGACTCTGGTCACTGTAAAAGGTACTGGGGGAAAAGCAAGGCAAGAACTTGTGGTGGGGATCCTGAGCTTGGGTCCTCACCTAACTGTCCAGATTCTGTACACGAGCAGGGTTGTCATGCAGTAAAATGCCTGGGCAACAATTCAAAATAGCTGTTTTCTCTTCACAACCCTCAAGAACTATCCCCCCACCCCCAGTGGCAAAGGCAGGGAGGGAGGCTGGGGCAGGGAGTTGTCAGCCTAGTGACCCCCGACTCACAGTGACCACACTGCCACTGGACAAGGCCCTTTCTGTCAGAGCTTAGGCTCTGGCCATAAACTCAGGTCCGTTGCAGAGCCCCAGCTCGACCACATGAGCATCGGTCCTGGGACTGGCCTCTGGCTACCAGCCTCTGTCCTGTGACTTGGGCTGAGAGTTAGGTGATCAGGTAGGAGAGAGAGGTTCAAGCTGGGGCCCCAGAGCCCCTGCATCAGTGTGACCAGCAGCCATTTGTATCTGGCCTGGAGGATCTGGTCCCTGGTGAGCTCTCAGGGTAGGGACTGTCTTCCTCCCTGAACACCCAGCAGAGAGCCATGGTGACCCCTCCTTCAAGGCCATCCTTCCTGGCTTCCTCAGATCACCTCTGCGGAAGCTGAGACCCAAGGGAAGAAGGCCCAGGCTTTGTTGAGTGGGCCAACCTCACAGAGCCCTCAGAGCCCAGGAAAACGGATGTCAACACCCCCCTGCCGAGGCTCACCTGAGGGTGGTCCCTGGCCTGGACTCAGGGACTTATGGAAAAACTGGCACCTCCAGTCATTGATGGACTAATGTGGCCTTTTCTTGTGCTGGTCCACTGAGTGAGGATGGTCAGATGGGAGAGTCCAGGCTCCAAGCCAACTTCAAGGAGGGCAGCACCCGCATCACTCTCAGGCTCCACCCTAGGTCCTCTCCCATCTCACTCTCGCCAGCGTGGGCCTCCTTCTAGTGGCCTCAAGTTTTCCTCCTGGTCGGAGAGGGAGAGCTGCTCTCCCCAGTGGCTGGACCCTTCACAGCCAGGGGGGCGCTGCTCCTCGTATCCTTTGCCCCACGGAGGACCCCACGCAGGATTGATGGACAGCGGCTGGGGAAAAAAAAAAATTCTACACCTGCTGCCGGAGGGCCGTGCCCCTGCTTGCGCATAGCTGCTCGCGCTGACCCTACTGTCGCGTCCACACGGGGACCCGCATACGCTTGGCCCGTGTGTCTTGGAGCCCCCGTGCGACCTGGCAGAGGGCGCACCAACTCGGAGCTGACGCGTGGTGGGGGTGGGGGGGGGCAAAGTGACCGAGTGTTATCGGTTCCGGTCCGAAATCAAGAATTCTCAGCTTCCCGCGTAGCCGCCGCAGCCCGTCGCTGTGACCTAGGCGCCGCCGGACTCTGAAGAGGTGGAAGACCGGAGCCCGGCCGCGCAGAAACCCTCAGGGCTCCAGGCCGGGCTCGGAGCTTCCTGAGGGCCCCCACCCGCCTTCTCCCCGCAGCCCACAGGCCTGGAGCCTGACCCTGCGTACTGCCCACCGATGCGCGTGGTGAAGGCCGGGCGTGCGCGCCCTGGGCTCCGGGCCTGGACACGGCAGGAGGCCCCGCCCCCTAGCGCGCCCCGCCCTTCCGGCAGCGGGGAGGCGCCCGCGTCCGAGGCCCGAGCCGGGCCTGAGCGCCGCGCCATGGCGGAGACCAAGATCATCTATCACATGGACGAGGAGGAGACGCCGTACCTGGTCAAGCTGCCAGTGGCGCCCGAGCGCGTCACGCTGGCCGACTTCAAGAACGTGCTCAGCAACCGGCCCGTGCACACCTACAAATTCTTCTTCAAGTCCATGGACCAGGACTTCGGGTCAGTGGGCCGTAGGGCCTGTGCGCGGGTGCGCGCGGTAGGCACCTGTCCGGCCAGGCAGGGCAGGGGATCCTGGGGTTGTGACCTGGGCGGTGTCTGCGCGCCCTGCTGCGTGTGTCCCACCTGTCTGTGCTCTGAGCATAAGACGCCTGGGCCCCTGACTGCCTGCCCCGGGGTCTGAGAGCGCTGGACGGTGGGCGGAGAGCGGTCTTGGCTTCTCCATTCACCCTGGGCCCTGTTCTGAGTGTGTGACTTGCGGTGGAGGTCTGTGGTCGAAGTGGACCTCCGAAATCCCATCTTGGCACCTGTCAGACTTAGAGTCCGCTGCCCCCTTTATGTGGAGGGTGGGTGGGATTCATGAGGCTTGGGGTCGGAGGAGTTTCCAAGCGTTGGGGGGAAGGGGTTAGGGTGGGGATAGGGTGCCAGCCATCCAGTGGGTCTCCTAGTTAGCACAGGGGAAATGAGGTGATCTGGGCAAGGGCACATATCTATCTGCAGGGGTCTGCAGGAGTTTCTGGAAGCTTAAAACAGCATTCTCCTGGCCCCCTTCTCCAGGGTCCTCAGGACAGGGCAGGGGCCAAGGGTCACTGGGCAACATGGGGCTTTATTCCACCCACCCCAGCCTTGGGGTTGCTGGCCACAGGGCCTGTGTCCCTGCTGAACCACATGCCACTTGGGTTCCTGAGAGCAGTGCAGGCCAGCTGCTGACTCGGGCAGCCTCTGGGTCAGAGTTCTCATGTCTGCCCTTAGTGGTGGCTGTCCCAGCTGAGGGGACTTCCTGCTTGTGCCGGGCTGGGCCTCTGAAACGGTGAGCGGTGAACTGGAGGCTGGCTGGACTCTCGAGCCCTGACCCAGCACAACCATGGGTAACCTGAGTCCCCCGCTTGGCAGTGCTGGGGGGGGGGGGCACCCAGAGGCCGCCTGGGCTGAGCAGGTGTGCTTGGGCGCCCTTAGGCAGCCCGTGTCCTTGTCTGTGGCTGCGTCTTGGGACTTTGACATTGAGGCCATTTCCTGGATTCTGTGGTTTGCACCGACCCTGGGCAATCCCAGGTCTGGTCAGGCTGAGGCCACTTTGTGGCTCCCAGGGAGGCCTGAGGGACATGGGGGCAACTAGACTGTCTTATGCAGTCTAGTCTCTCTGCAGAGAGAGGTAGAGAACGGGGAATGGGTCCTTGGCAGCCCCCAGCCCTGCTGGGCTCAGGTTAGGAGCTGCCCCCAGGCCAGGCTTCACAGGGTAGGGCATAGACTGGGGAGCCTGGTCCTCGACACTGGCTGCCCCCCCCCCCCAAAACCCCGCCTCAGCTGGTTGGTCGCCTACAGTCTCACTTTTCTGAGCCTGCTCTGCTTTGGCTGTGAGCATCAGGTATGTGAAAGGGTGCTTTTGTTTTTTAACTTAGTTTATCATTTTAACAAAAACTACTGAAATCACATGTGCTCTTTTACACACTGAGAGGAGTGTGTGGCACACTGTGTGCCCAGCCCCCCAGGTTGCTGCCCTCGGACCATGATCTGGGGTGCAGCCTGAGGGGCCTGACCTTCCTCGTGTGTCTAATAGCCACTGAGCTGCAGAGACCCCCTGCCCCACTCGAGGTACACTCCCAGCAGAGGCTGTGCCTGCTAGAGGATTTTCAGGACCCATGGATGCCCTGGCCCAGGAGGTCATGGTGGGCAGGCAAGATCTGGGTCTTGAAGCAAGAGTAGGAGTTCTTCAGGTTGTCTGAGCATGACTGAGATGTGGGGGAGGGAACAAGACCAGGATGGTAGGCTGGGCTGGGACAGAGGGAGGGATTGGGGTGACTCTGGAAGGTGCAGTGGGCATGGGCGGACAGGGCAGGGGAGGCTCATCTTATTCCCCACCCCCACCCCCAGACCTGTGATTGGTGGCCTGTTGGCCTCAGGGACCCTTGGAGGGGATCTGCCTCCTTCCTTCCCTCTCTTGAGATCTACCTACAGAATTCCAGGTTCTGTTTATTCTGTAGAATCATTTACTCAGTGGAATAAATTTCCTCTGGGAGTGTCTGATTAGTCACTCACACTTTAGTATAAATGAGAGTTAGCCTCACCTTGGCTCCCTAATGGATATAGCTGGAGGTTGGAGAAAGAGGGGGCAGGTCCTGGCTGGGCTGGGGAAGTGGCCCCCTTATGAGAGGGGTGGTCTCAGATTGGTGATTGTGAGGTCCCTGACCCTGCTAAGGCCTCTGTTCCTGACGTCTCAGTTCTTGGCCTCTCTGGCCAGGAAGGGAAATCTTCCTAAGTCTAAGGTGTGGTCATAGCCACTTGCTTTGGCCAGGCCTCGCTCTCCATGAGCATCTTTGGCAAGTGGGTAGAGCATCTTTGGCAAATGGGTAGAGAGTCCTGTGCCTCCCTCCCACTCTTCCTATGCAGGTCATAGCTGTGTGTTCCAGTGAAGCTGGGGAGGCTCTCAGAGCCTGTGCTGGGCTGGCCCAGAGGTGCTCAGCTTTGGGCTTGGTGTGCAGCCATGCTCACAGGCTTCCACTGCCTTGTGGACTCCAGGCCTCCCTGGACTTGGCAGTGGCCCTGGGCCCTGCATCTCTGGGCCAGGAGCTCTGGTCTGTAGGGCCATCTGTCTGTGGGCCCTGGGGGCTGTGGTGGGGGCTGCGCTTGGCCTGGTCCAAGTGGCCTGAGCTCCCACTCTGCCCTTTGCAGCTCTGCCATCTGCAGTCAGTGCCCCTGGTGTTGGGAGGTTCTAGATGCCTCACCCCCTGGAGCTTGTAGTCAGGCATGGAGGGTCTAGGGTCTAGACCCTTCACCCTGGAGCCTGCAGAGCCCAAGCCTGGTCAGGAGGCAGTGGGGGTACAGATGAAGGCTCTGTGGGAACTGAGGACCCTGATTCCTGGGGCAACCCTGTGTCTCTGAGGACATAGGTGGGGCATCCCACTGGGTCTCTGGGAGCCCAGGAGTTCCTGGGCTCCTCGCTCTGAGCAGGGAGCCCTGCTCTGTACGGGCCCTGCTCTGAGCAGATTCCTCGCTGGGGTGCGTCTGCGGGGGTGGCGGGTGGGGCTGGACAGCCCAAGTTCCAGGTTATCAGGGGTCTCACCAGGAATCCCAGAGCTGGGGGCAATATGCCAACAGAGGTTCCCCTGGGTGGCCACCCTGAGGGTTCATGTCTTTGCTGACCACAGCTCCTGAGGTGTACTCTCAGGCTCAGGGAAGGCGCTCTGGATTGGGGGGCATTTCCCCAGGCTTGGTTGAGGCCTCCCCCAACTCCACCCCCAACCTCGTCCCTGTTCCTGGCCATCACTCGGGATGGGCAGCACCGTGCCCCTGATGCTGGGCTTGCCCCTGGGGAGGGCGAGGCCTTTCCCTTCCCCCTCCCTCCTGGCTATCCTGACTAGCTGCTCCTCGATGCCCTGACCCCCAGGGGGAAGGCTGGGTGCCCTTTAGTTCCAGCCAGAAGGTGTATATCTCTCAGGGTGGGGAGGACTGGGGAAGCAGGGCCTCTGGGCCCTGGGGGGGGCATTCATGTGTGGGTGGGCTGCATGGGGGCCTCAGGCAGCTCTGGGTGACCAATTTCCTGGAGGCACTGGCTGTGCAGGCAGTGGGGGTTCAGGGTGCCGCCTGAGGTGTCCACCTCTGGGAAGCCCCATGGACCTTGTGCTATGAGTCAAAAGGGCGGGGTCATGAGTGCAGGGAAGGAGGGGAGGCTGCTGGCCAGGCCACCTGGACTGTGAAGTGAGAACCAGGTTCCCCCTTGGGTTTCTTGCTGCAATCACTCAGAGGTGGTGCTCGGGGCCCGCTGGGCCCCCTGGAGGACTTGCTGCAACCCCCCATCTCCTGGCTGCAGCTGGCAGAACCCCAGGTGTCCCCAGGCCACTGCAGGTCTTCCTGTGGTGACTCCTTCTGTGTGGTCTCCTGGACTGACTCTTGGGCTGGATCTCGGCCACCCCAGAGCTCAGCTCTGTGGTGCGTGATGGGGGCTGCAGACACTTTGTCTGTTCCTCACTGGGGAGAGGGGGTCCTGAGAAATGACTCGTGTCCATTGTTCTGTCCACCTCATCTGTGCCTGTGTGGCTGGCCTGGGAGGCATCTGATGGAGTCACTATAGGACCCTGGCAGAGTGCCCCCTCCAGGCTGCCCTGTCTCCTCTCTGCACTCTGCCCTGAGGTCTTGGGGCTCTCCTGGTGGGTGGGGTGGACTGGAGCCTTGCTCTTGGGGACTTCCTGCCCCCTGCTGCTGCCTTGGACACGCTGAGTTGAGGTGTCTGGGCCCATAGGCCATGAGGCTACTTCCTGCCTGGTCTGCAACTCCTGTTTCTACACTGGGCCCTCATCCCAGGTGTGGAAATCTGCGGTGCTGGGCAGGGCTGCGCCCCAGGGGCCTGCTGCCGGCCCTGCCCTGCCCACCCTGCTCCCTGGGCCTCCGGGAGGCCACAGTGTGGGATGTGTCTGGGCCACAGCACTGTCTGCCCTGCCCCATGGCCCTTCCCTGCTGCCCTTCTCACCCCTTTGAACCTGACTCCTGGACCTCCCCAACCTGTTTCTGACCCCAGGGTCATTGGCTTCCTTCCCAGTTAGAGTTGCCCTGGGCCTTGGCCATCTGCCTCTCCTGTCCTTCCAGGCCCACCTGCTGGGGGCAGCATGAAGGGACAGGCCAGGCTAGCCATTGGGCAGTGGTAGAGCTGGTGACACTTGCTGACCTTCAGGGCCTGAGGCTTCTCCATGGGCCCTGCTGGCCCTGCACTTGGCCACCCTTCAAGTTGGGCCAGTGTTGTGAGTGGGGGTCTGTTTCTGTCTCCTTGGCTGGGCCAACAGGTCAGGAGGGTGGTGGTCTGCTCCTGGAGTGTGAGCTTGCGGGTCTGTGTGCTGTGCACCTCCCGGGGGGTCTGCCCACACCTGACTTGTACTGAAGCCTGCTGTGACCTGGGCCCTGCCCTCGCGATATGAAGTCCGGGGGAGTCACACAGAGCAAGGAGGATACTTGCATTTGTGTCTGGGCCCCATGGGCCCTGGGTGGGGTCCTTGGAAGGATGGTGACAGTCTCCAGTAGTGGAAGTGCTGGGCGAGGGCATCCGCACAGACCGGCATCTGGGTGTGTGGCCGGATGCCCCATGTGACCCACACCCCGGACAAGCTGGGGGCCTTAGTCCAGAGCCCAGAGGTGGGAGCAGGCCCCAGTGTGGCTGCCTCACAGCTGTGTCTGCCTGCAGGGTTGTAAAGGAGGAGATCTCTGACGATAATGCCAAGCTACCCTGTTTCAACGGCCGTGTGGTCTCCTGGGTGAGTCCATGGGATGCTGGCGGAGGGCCCTGGGCTGGTGGGAGTGGAAGAAGGTACTGCCCATGCCTGGTGCCCTGCCGGGGTCGCCTGGATGCTGGCTCCTGAGCCCTGCTCTTGTCCACAGCTGGTCCTGGCTGAGGGTGCGCACTCGGATGCAGGGTCTCAGGGCACTGATGGGCACACAGACCTGCCCCCGCCTCTTGAGCGGACAGGCGGCATCGGGGACTCCCGGCCTCCCTCCTTCCAGTAAGGATTCTGGGGGGCTGTGCTGAGCCCAGTGGAGCTGAAGGGCTTGCGTCCTGCCAGCCTGTTGGAAATGGGGAGGGGCAACTGAGCAGGGACCCACGGTCAGTAGGTGCTGGTCAGCAGAGGAGGGGCAAGTGGAGAGGCCCAGAGTGGGCCAGTGGGTAGATGGGGGCTCTGCTGGAGTCGAGGTCCCACTGGACGTTGGGAGGAGAGGAGCTGAGAGGGTGTTTGAGGCATGAGTGGCCTGGCCGCCCCAGCCCAGCCCTCCTCGGCACAGCCCGAATGTGGCCGGCAGCCGCGATGGGATGGACAACGAGACTGGCACGGAGTCATTGGTCAGCCACCGGCGGGAGCGAGCCCGACGCCGGAACCGTGAAGAGGGTAATGAGGCCATGCCCTGGACCTCCCTGGGGCCCCCGTGGGCACCCCAAGCCCCTCCTGGCCCCCCTTCCAGTGGTGGTCCCTTGGCAGAGGTTCCAGACCCAAATACCCTGGACCCTAGTGACCCCTCAGCAGCCCTGCAGTCACCCTGCCAGCTCCCAGGTGAAAGAGTGCTTGAGGTTGCAGGGGCTGCCCATGACTTCCAGGGGATCTCATGGCCAGCCCCCATCCCTGCTGTCCCCACAGCAGCCCGGACCAATGGGCACCCAAGGGGGGACCGGCGGCGGGAATTGGGGCTGCCCCCTGACAGTGCGTCCACCGTGCTGAGCAGTGAACTTGAGTCCAGCAGCTTCATCGACTCGGATGAAGATGACAACACAAGCCGGTGGGTGAGGGTGAGGGTGCAAGGTGGGGCAGGATGTGTGCCCTGGACCACACATATATGTATGCATGGGCGTGTGCACCTGGGCAGGAGACCCTGCTGGCTGCTCACTGCCTGCAGGGTTGGGATGGTTTCCTCAGGTTCAGCCTTGCCTCTACCCCTTTGAGTTCAACTATATGGGGGGTGGCCAGACCCTGACTCTGGGCTCCCCCAGGCTGAGCAGCTCCACGGAGCAGAGCACCTCCTCCAGGCTCATCCGGAAACACAAGCGCCGGCGGCGGAAACAGCGCCTGCGGCAGACAGACCGGGTAGGTGCAGACTGGGCAGGTGTGGGCCAGGCAGGTGTGAACCAGGCAAGTGTGGGCCAGGCAGGTGTGAATATTGCAGGTGTGGGCCAGGCAGGTGTGAACTGGGCAGGTGTGAACCAGGTAGTTCCAGATCAGTCAGGTTAGGGCCAGGCAGGTGTGAATCTTGCAGGTGTGGGCTGGCAGGTGTGAACCAGTCAGGTGTGGACTGAGCAGCTGTGGACTGGACAGGTGTAGGCTGGGGTGGGCAGATGGGTCCCACTCACAGCCCCTCACCTGGCGCCCCCTGCAGGCCTCCTCTTTCAGCAGCATCACGGACTCCACCATGTCCCTCAACATCATCACCGTCACACTCAACATGGGTGAGGCCTCTGTGGGGTGCTGGGCAGGGCACAGTGGTGGTGGGGGCACACCTGCTCACCACCCCCCTGCCCCGCAGAGAGGCATCACTTCCTGGGCATCAGCATTGTGGGCCAGAGCAATGACCGGGGCGACGGTGGCATCTACATCGGCTCCATCATGAAGGGTGGGGCTGTTGCTGCTGATGGCCGCATCGAGCCGGGAGACATGCTGCTGCAGGTGCGGGCCAGGAAAGCTTCTGGGGGGGTGGGAAGAGCAGCACCCCCACCCACCATGCTGACCTCTTGCCCCCAGGTGAATGATGTCAACTTCGAGAACATGAGCAACGATGATGCTGTGCGGGTCCTGCGGGAGATTGTGTCCCAGACGGGGTGAGGCGTGTGGGGGTGAGGCGTGTAGGGGTGGGACAGTGGAGGGGAGGGGGCTGCCTGGGTCACCTTGTGACCCGCCCACCCTGCAGGCCCATCAGCCTTACAGTGGCCAAGTGCTGGGACCCAACGCCCCGCAGCTACTTCACCATCCCGAGGGGTGAGTGACCCCCTGGGGCCGGCGGGGTGGGGGTGGGGCACCTAGCCCAGCCTGAAGGGCCTCTTCTCTGTCCTGTGTTCCACTTCCCCCCACACCGTCCATCTGTCCGTCTGTTGCCATGCTATGGCTGCCCAGCGGATCCAGTTCGGCCCATCGACCCAGCCGCCTGGCTGTCCCACACGGCAGCGTTGACGGGAGCCCTGCCCCGCTACGGTACGAGCCCCTGCTCCAGCGCCGTCACGCGCACCAGCTCCTCCTCACTAACCAGCTCTGTGCCTGGCGCTCCGCGTAAGTGGCAGCTCATAAGGTTGGGAACCAAGGCCCTGGCCAGGCACACACTGGGTGCGGTTGCCACGCCAGCCTTGAGTGTTCACGGTGCTGCCGGGTCCTCATGATTGGATGCGAGGGTGCCTGCTCCCGCCCTCCTCCCTGCTCTCTGTCCTAGCAGTGGGAGTGGGAGATGCCTGGAGGGGCTCGGCGAGCCCTGGGGTCTGTGTGGCGGGGGCAGGGAGAGGCAGGTGCCTGTGTGGGGCACTCACCCTGCTTTCCTGCCACTAACATGACTAACAGCCCCAGCTCGCAGGGGAGGGGGTAGAGGACGCCTGATATCAGCCCCTGGGGCTCTGGTCTGCAGGGCCAGGGGGGCCTTTTCCTGGTCGGACAGGGTGGGAGATGAAGGTCCAAACCCCTCCCGCCCCGTGCCTGCTCCCTGACTCTGCGGGGCCACTCAGCGCTGGCCCTGAGCCTCACAGTTGCTCGGCCAGCAGAGCCTGGCCTCTGAAGTGGGGAAGCAGGCTGGGCCTGGGGTCTGTTCTGGCCCTGTGCCACCTGTCAGCCACTCGGGCTGAGGAGGGGGGCTGTGCCTTGCAGAGCTGGAGGAGGCGCCGCTGACTGTGAAGAGCGACATGGGTGCTGTCGTCCGGGTTATGCAGCTGCCGGACTCGGGCTTGGAGATCCGGGACCGCATGTGGCTCAAGATCACCATCGCCAACGCTGTCATCGGTGAGGCTCCTGCACCCGGGGGTGGGGGTGGGGCTGGGTCCCTGCCCGACTGTTGCCCGCTGCCACGCAGGCGCAGATGTGGTGGACTGGCTGTGTGTGCACCTGGAGGGCTTCTGCAAGTGGTGGGCGGGGTTTGGGGGTGGGACCAGGTCCCTGCCTCTGACTGCCGCCTGCTGCCACCCAGGGGCAGATGTGGTGGACTGGCTGTACGCGCACCTGGAGGGCTTCCGGGAGCGGCGGGAGGCGCGCAAGTACGCCAGCAGCATGCTGAAGCGTGGCTTCCTGCGGCACACAGTCAACAAGGTCACCTTCTCAGAGCAGTGCTACTACGTCTTCGGGGACCTGTGCAGCAGTGAGTGGGGCTGCAGAGCGGAGTCCCCGAGGGAAGGCCGCCCTCCCCACCCTCACCCGCACTCCCTCTGCCCTCCCCTCTCGCAGATCTTGCCGCCCTGAACCTCAACAGTGGCTCCAGTGGGGCCTCCGATCAGGACACGCTGGCCCCGCTGCCCCACCCGGCTGCCCCCTGGCCCCTGGGTCAGGGTTACCCCTACCAGTACCCGGGGCCCCCACCCTGCTTCCCGCCCGCATATCAGGACCCTGGCTTCGGCTACGGCAGCGGCAGTGCCGGGAGTCAGCAGAGTGAAGGTGAGGGCCCCTACCTTCAAGCCCAGCCCCCTCCCCCACAGCCTGGCTCTGCCCTGCGTGCCCGCCCCCTGCCCTGCACTCCCATCTGCTCTGTGCTCGGGCCCTGGGTGGCTTCTTCTGAAAGGGGTGAGTGGTCAGAGGCTGGAGAGAAGAGCCTAGAGTCTTCAGGGGTTGTGTGGGTGTGTTGGTGGTCCAGATGTGGCAGAGGCAGAGAGAGATGGTGTGGGAATGGGGGCATGGGATGTGATGGCCCAGGGTGGGGGAGCAGCAGAGGGGCCCTGAGACCCTCCCCCCAGCACCTGTAGCACAGCAGGGAGCAGAGGTGACAGTTTCGCAGATAGCTGCAGCCTGCTGCTGGGCCGTGAAGGGCAGTTGAGCAGTGGGGTTGGGGTGTCACAGAGGAGCACCTGTTGGGACACTGTCCTGAGGCTGAGTGGGGGGCACAGCAAGGCCCATGGGCACATGCCCCCAAAAGCATCAGGGGAGAGGTCTTATGGGTGACTCGGTGGAACCAGAAGGGGATGGGGAGAGAGGACAGTGGATCAGGGGCAGCAGTTTCCAAGGGGAAGCATGTTGGGTGCTGAGGCCAGTGGGCACATGCCCCCAGCATCTGGGGAAAGGTCTGGTGGGTGGCTTGATGGACAGGAGGGAATGGGGGGAGAGAGAACAGTGGAGCAGGGGCAGCAATGTCCAAGGGGAAGCGTGTTGGGTGCCGGTGGACCTTGCACAGGCCCAGCTGGTGGTGTGGGTGCCTGGCCGCTGGTGTGTAACTCCTCTATCCCTTGCTTTGTGCTGAGCAAGCCTTAGACTGAAGGACTAGCGGAGCGGACCCTCGGGGCCGGTAAGCCAGGGTCCTGCTCGGCGTCCCCCTCCGCACGTCCCCAGCCAGTGGGCGTCTTCAGGTTCCCAACATGTCCTGAGTGCCCAGGAGGGGCTGAGCTGAGTAGCCGGCCAGGGCTCTGGGGGCAGATGAAAGGCGGGTCTCGGGTGGGGAGCCCATGATGGCTGGCAGTGCCCCGGGCACACAGCCTCCTCTGGGCCTCCATTTCCCAGCTGCAAGACCAGGCCCTCGGTCCAGGCACTGGTGTGAGGAGTGGGGATCGAGCTGGCCCTGGAGCATCCCTGCCTGTCTGCTACTGCCCTGCCCCTGCCCCACCCCGCATCTCTTCTCCTCTGCCTGCTGCAGCTGCTCCTGCTTCCCTGGGCTGGGCCAGTCCGGCCCTCATGTCTGCATGGCTGCCCACCCCTACCTGTACCCTCTCAGGACCATTGGTGCTGCCCCTGGCGGTCCCGACCATGGCCATCTGTCTTGGAAGAGGGAAGGCCTAGTACTGACCATACCATTCCTCTACCCTGTTCTTGACCTCAGGAAGCAAAAGCAGTGGGTCCACCCGGAGTGCTGGCGGGAGCAGCCGTCGGGCCCTGGGCCGTGAGAAGGAGAGCCGGTCGGCTGGAGCTGGGGGCAGTGGCAGCGAGTCAGACCACACGGCACCAAGCGGGGCGGGTAGCAGTGGCTGGCGGGAGCGTCCGCCTAGCCAGCTCAGCCGTGGCAGCAGCCCGCGCAGCCAGGCCTCAGCTGCTGCCCCAGGGCTCCCCCCGCTGCACCCCCTGACAAAGGCCTACTCGGTGGTGGGTGGGCCACCTGGGGGGCCACCTGTCCGGGAGCTGGCCGCTGTCCCGCCAGAGCTGACGGGCAGCCGCCAGTCTTTCCAGAAAGCCATGGGGAACCCCTGTGAGTTCTTCGTGGATATCATGTGACCAGGCGAGAGTGCCTTCAGCCCAGCCCTGCTGTGGGGAGGCCCAGGGTCCTGCTCTTGCAGGAGGGCCCTGCTCCTAGAGCTTGTGTGGGCTTGCCTTAGCAGCCATCCCAGGTCAGACCTGTGCTTGCTGCCATGGGGTCTGGGCCTGGACAGAGTGGCAGCAGGCTGGAGAGGAGGGGCTGAGGGCAGCCCAGACCACCGTGATCTGGATGGCGGCTCATCCACCCCTGGCTGGAGCTGTCAGTGCAGACACTGGGCAGGAGGGGCATCTCCCTGTGCTCGGGCAGGTCTGACTCACCCCTCTTGGCGTATGCCTCAGGGACCCCAGCTTGCCCACAGAGCTGCGCACGGGGCCTCAAACTGAGCTGAGAGGTGGCCACTAGGCCTTGGCCCCACCCATCTTGCCTAGGCCAGGATTGGGGGGGATCCTCTCGGGGTTAGAATCATAGCCCCAAGGTCCCTCTGTGGCTGCCCAAGGTAGGGATCTAATTTATTTATTTATTGTCTGACCTGTGTGCTCTGTGGGGTGGCAGCCAAGACAGCTGTCCCCTACCCCAGCCACCAGAACAGTTTCGTGTGTCCCCCCTGCAGGGACACAGGTTGTGTCTGGAGGTGTGTGGGAGGACAGTGAGGGGGAGGTGGCAGGATGGGGGACCCTGAGGAGTGAGGGCCACAGACGCGCACAGCTGCTGCAGGGGCAGGGTTTAGAGCAGAGGGCGTGGCCAGCTCAGCCTTCCTCGCGATCTTGGGGTGGCCTCCCACCCACCCACGCCCGCACACATGCACGTCGCTTCCGTCCGGCATCTCTGGCCTGCACATGTCTGCACTGTAGATACTATATCCAGTTGGGAGCGTCGTCCAGATAGTTAATAGAGCTGCTTCTGTGTAAATGCTATTTTAAACACTAAAAAGCATTTAATTTTATGGGACTGATGTGTGACCTGTGTCTCTTCCCCAATTTAGGAGGTTGGGCTGCAGGGGCTGGGTCAGCTTCCCCAGGGTCCAGCTGAGAACTGACCCAGGACTGGCTTGGTGCTGTCCTCTGGGTGCCAGCTCACCAAGGCCCTGCCCACAGCCGACCTGGCAGGCAGTCTTCTGTCCGTGGTGCTGGCTCCTGGCTCTGGGGCAGTGGTGGGGTGGGGGGTAGGGGTCCCTGTGGCTGGTGCTGGCCATAGTGCTGACCCCGCCCCCCCACCTGCCTGGGTTCTGTCTGTGGTGCTGGAGGTGACTGGCCCCCATTCTGCTGGCTCACTGGCCAGGGAGAGAGAAGGAAGATGGGTGCCCCCTCCCTTCTGAGGAGGCCTCTGCCTTGTGCTGGGGCCCAGGTCAGGTACACACTCCTGCAGAGGGGTTGAGAAAGCCCCATCCACCTCCCAACATCCCACTCTTGTGATGCTTGGAGAGGATGCTGGGTGGGGGCCTCCCACTGGGCCCAAGCAGGCAAGTGACACCCAGCTTTGCCTTCATGTGGCCCCTGGGGTCTTCCTGAGCACTCAGTGTAGCTTCATGGAGCCCCAAGAACCCTCCATGGGCCTCTGACCGGAACAGGGGGGCTGGGTCACCTGTGTAGGCCAGGGCTCGGTCAGGACAAGACAGAGCCTAACTCTGGGGCCTCAGGTGATGAGATCCCATTGGGCTGAGGCCGCTTATGCACTCTGGAGGTCACTCTGGGGTCAAAGTGAGCAGAATCTAGGGCTGTCTCAGTGGAGTTAAGGCACAGTCTGCAGGTTGCTGCATGGAAACTTGGTTTGGGGGTGACTCAACGAGGTCTGAGTTCACTGGGGTGACGTCACCTACTCAAGGGTCACTTGTTTTTCCCCTGAGTCTCCTCCCTGACCCCACTGCTGCCTTGCCCTCTGGCGTCACTGGGACCCCCTCCCAAGAAGAACTCAGGGGTGTTGAGGTCTGGCCGCCACAGCAGCAGGTAGCACTTAGGCAGGTGGAAGGTGGCCAGGATGCCCAGCACACAGAAGAGAATGGTGCCCATCTGCACAGGGGGGTGGGAGACCATGTGTACATTGGCAAAGAGTGGGATGTAGGAGACCCAGGTGATGAAGTAGGCCAGCATGGCGAAGGTCAGGCTGCGGGCGCTGTTGTAGCGGCCAGGCCGGCTCTGTACCAGGAAGGTGCCCAGGAAGCAGAGAAAGGCCAGCATGGCGTTGGTGGCATGCACCACTCCGAAGCTGATCCAGGAGCTCACGCGACAGTGCACCAGTGCCTCCGTGGGCAGCACATGCCAGTTTGTTACCACCACCGGTGGGAAGACTGCCAGGTACCAGGAGCAGAGCGCCGCCTCTGCCAGCATGGCAAGCAGCACTACCAGCCAGGCCCAGGGCCCCCGCAGGCGGCTGTGGAGCCAGTCTGTCCAGCTGGGTGGCAGCTCTGAGCCCACAAAGATCTCGGCCGCCTGCAGGAATAGTGTGCTCAGGCAGCCGGTGAGTGGGAGGTGAAGCAGCAGCTGCTGGCCCACGCAGCTGGCAGTGCTGGGCCGGCCAGGGAACAGGAGGACGCTGAGGCAGACCAGGCCCAGGCAGGCCAGGCCAAAGCAGGCTCGGGGCCCCCCTGCGGCCTGAACTAGTGGGCTGTCCCGGTGCCAGGTGAAGAGTCCCAGGGCTATGAGCACCAGAACCAGAACGATGCCCAGCAGCAGGAGCAGCCCAAGCACTGCCGGCTCCCCCCACGCCAGGAACCTGGGCCTGCGGGGGAAGCACCGGGTACTCCGGTCTGGGGACCACTGGTCCTGGTCACACTTGCTGCAGAGGGCATCGTCTGAGGCAAGGGAGGAGAGAGGGGATGCTGGGGGCCACTGGCTTCCCTGGCCTTGCCTCTGCCCCAGACCCGACCCTGTGGTACCCGCCCTCACTTGGGCCTCAGCATGGGCTGGACCCTGAGGGCTCACCTGGGTGGCGCTGGTAGCTGCCTGCCTTGCAGTCCACACAGTCGTAGCAGCAGGAGTGGAAGCCCTTCACGCGGCGCACCTGGCCCTCCCTGCACTGCCGCGAGCACTGGGACACGGGCTCCTGGCGGGCAGCAGGGCTCAGGCTCTGTATGGCTGGCTGCACTGGCCTAAGCCCTGGGGGCCGCCCCCGCTCCCTGGACACGACTGGTGCTCACTTGGTTTCCCGGGGTGTGCCAGATCATGTTGGAGAACTGGAGCTCCAGGCTGCCATTGTAGCTGCCCACAGTGCGCAGCGTGGGCATCTGGTCCCGCCACACCCACAGCTTCAGGTCATAAGCCAGGTCCACATTCCCGCTGGTGTCGAACTGCAGGGTCCGGTTGTATGCACGGAAACTCATGTTGTACATGTTCTCCAGGAGCTGGCAGTGAGGGGATCAGGGGGCAGTGGGGAAATCGGGATGGTAGGGCTGGGCAGGGAGTCGCCACTGGCCAGACCCCCCCCTCCCCGCCCCCCACCTCCTCCTCAGGGGCACCAGTGGATTGGGGAATGAGCCAAGAGACACAGCTTCTGCGACCTCACCTGCCAGGGCCGCACGGGCTCCTGTGTGGGGCAGCCCGAGGAGTTGCAGAGCAGCGCTTTGTGAAGCGCATGGGCCACGCTATACACGGCTGCGTAGGCGGCAAAGGTTTGGTGGTAAAGCAGCCCATCGGTCACGTTCTCCGGGGAGGCGCGGTCACACTGCGGGCAGCGTGGCCCCACCACGTGTTCCTCCAGACCCAGCCGCCCTGCCTCTAGTGAGGCGCAGTAGGCGGGCTCGGCGGCCTGGGCCAGGCGGGTCTGCACATAGGACCGGAACTCGGGCATCTCGGCACCCTGATGCAGGAAGCCAAGCACCGTGCCCACCCGCTCCATGCCCGGTAGCATCATAACCAGGCTTGAGGTCAGCCAGGCCTCACTGGCCACCCATACCTTGGGTGAGAGCTTGTAGTGGATGGTATAGCTGAAGAGGCTGTAGGTGGCATGTGCAGAGGAGAACACCACCACCACCTGCACGCTGCTGTGGTTCACCTGGTGCAACAGGCTCTGCACAGAGCCCAGCCGCGTGCCGCCGGCACGGGGCAGTGGCATCAGGCCCTCATAAGCTATGCAGATGCCCTTGGCGTTGGCCAGGCTGGAGAAGAGGCTCAGGCCCTGCCGGCCGTACTCATCATCGCTGCCCACGGCGGCCACCCAGTTCCAGCGTAGCCCCCGCAGCAGCTCTACCATGGCCGTTGCCTGCACACGGTCGCTGGGCACCGTGCGGAAGAAGGATGGGAACGTCTCGCGGTTGCTCAGCCGGTCAGTGGTGGCGCCGTAGCTGACCTGCAGGCGAAGGTGGCTCCTGACACTGAGGCTCCTGAGGTGGGTGGGAGGATGGGACATGGGGAGGGAGCGCACCTGGGGCATGAGGAAGAAGCTGAAGAACTTGCCAGTGACCAGGGCAACCTCGGATGAGTGGGGCCCGATGACAGCCAGCACGCGGGGTTGGTATTGCGTGTAGTCACAGTAGGCGCCGATGCTGCGGCTGCCCGCTTTGGCCATGAACACCAGGCTGGGCTTCATGGCGACCACGGGCTCCGAGCATGTGTCGAACAGGTCATAGCCCAGACGCAGCCCAGGGAGCAGGGTGGACGCGTTGTTGATCTCCTCCACAGCCATCATCATGGCTAGTGCCCAGAGCAGGCCGGGGGCCGACAACCTGGGGCCACAGGGACTGCGGGTGGCTGACGCCTCTCCCCCTGACCGACCTCCCCCAGCCCCACCTCCCCTGCCCTCACTCCCGGCCTCCCTACCTGGTGCACATGGTGGCATTGGGCTGCATCCTGTCACCTAGCCCGGTATCCTCGGCCGAGCCCAGAGGGAAAAGCCCGCCCAGAACGTAGTCCCCCGGCAGGCTGAGTTGCCGGGACAGGCACAATGGGGCCCCCAGCCTGACACCCAGTGCAGCCACGAGGCCCAGGAAAGTCAGGCCCAGCATGGCAGGTGGCAGCTTCCAGCAGCAGGACAGACTGCTTGCACTTGCACTTCCAGTAGCAAGTGGGCAGACTGAATGGGGCCCCAGATATGGGGAGTCAGGTGGGGAGGGGCACAGGATTTGTTTAGCAAAGCGCTTGCCTGCTCACCTGCCTCCTTTGGGCCCTGGAGTTGCCCCCATCTCCTGGGCCCCTCAGGTGTGCTCATGTTGGGCTTCTAATCCTGATGGCACCAACAGGCCCTCTAGGTGATGGTGACCTGGGCAGGCAGGCTCTAAGCAGCTGCTGCCTACGACATTGCTACCTGTGTCCAAACCCCTGGTACCCACCTGTTATGGAGGGGTCACCCTGGATCTGCTTGACAGAGGGGCCTGGAGTCTCCAGCTGATGTGAGACAGTAATGGAGGTGCCAGTGGGGTAGCACACCACCCCACACCCAGCCCAGAGAGGCACTGTCTATAGTCGGGGTGGAGCAGAGTGGACTGCAGGCCCAGGGGCAGCCTGAGGGGGGGTATCACGCAGCCCTGCAACCAAAAGGACAGAGCTGGCCAGCATGGCTCTCACCCATAACTGTGTGGGGAGGGTCCCGAGGTGGGGGTCATGGCCTCAGCCTGCCTGGGAACAGTGCACCTTGAGGGACTGTGGCCTAGAAGCTTTGGGGGCCCCAAAGCTTCAGAGGGCAGGTGCCTTCCTTCAGGGACAGAGCTCACAGCTGGGCCTGGGTGGGGAGGCATGCAAACAAGGGAGGAAATGCTGTAACCAAATAGGCTGCAGCAGTCATGCCAGCACCAGGTGTGACAATGGACCTGAGACCCACAGGCTGGTGGCTCCTGCTTAGCCACTGGGTACCCGGGGACTGGTCTCCCTGAGTCTGGGCTGGGGGCCTCACTGAAACCAGGCCACAGGCACCCAAGGGAGCTGGGGGAGGCTAGAGATGCCCTTGAGGGTGCAGTGGGGCCTGGCAGACGTTCATGGAATTGGTCCAGGGACCCGGTCTTTGCCTGTACCTATGGCCTTGGGGAGGGCACACATGGACGGCACGCTCACCACAAACACACACACACACACACATCACACACCCTTGGGGAGGGCGCACGAGGCACAGCACACACAGAATGCACACCACACACACACACAGTGCCTACACCGGCACACATGTATGCACACAGGCACACGTGCAGCCCTTGCTCTCTGGCTTTTGTCAGTAACATTCCAGGCTCTGGCCCCCACGGATATGGCCAGAGCTGGACAGGGTGCAGCAGCATCCCAGGAGGTGGCTTGTGCTGGGCACTGCTGTTCAGCTCTGGCCATCAGGCAGCATCTGCGAGGACCCTGCATGACACGTGTCCTCTTTCTGTCCAGGCCTGGCTGCAACTTGGCAGATTTTCCTCTCTGTACAGGGTATGTAGCTGACCTCAGATCTGCGCTTCCAACTCAGCCACTCAGGTGATTCTGTGACTTTAGTCTTCTCACCTGTCCAATGAAGATAATTCAGACCTTGGCAGTGGTTGAGGGACCAAGCTTGCACAAAGATGGGAAGGACCCCAACACTGGCCAGGACATGCCTCATGCTCCTGTGGTTGACACTGCCGATGGCCTGGCAGCACCCTTGTCCTGGAGCGCAATACTTCATTTTCTAAGTGCAATTTCTTTATTTTGGAAAAGCCATCACCTGTGTTACAGCGCCTAGGGTCCCTGAAAGCTCACTTACACACATTTGCTCTTGGTGGATACTGTCACCTTGGCACCTGACATTCTGGGCTCACAGAGGATGTGGGGGGGACCAGACCCCCAATCACTGGATGATGGCCAGGCTGGGTGTGGTCACCTGTCAGCCTGTCACTGAGGCGAAGTGGCCCAGGCTCCCTCCCATGTTGTGTCATTCTAGGTCTCCTGAGTACATGGGGACAGAGCAGTATGGGGCCAGGAAGAAGGGACACAGCATCTGGATGTGTAGACACTGAGGAGGGAGAAGCGAGCACTGGGCAGAGGAGTCCTGGGTTCCAGGGATTCTCATCCAGGGTTGTGCTGTGCTGTGCAGACTTGAGGCTGCAGAAGGCTGCTGTGTGCGTGCAGGGCAGTGGAGGCAGAGCAGGCCTTTCTTTGGGGCTTCAGGTCCTGCTGTCACAGCCAAGGACATGTGCGCCCCTAGCTAAGAAGGAGGCCAGGGGCAGGGAGAAATCCCGCAAAGGTGACCCCTGCCCAGGGGTTTTCTCCCTGTCCTGGGGTCAGCTAGCTGGTACAGAAGGCTCAAGGCAGCCCAGGTGGGCAAACACTACATCCCGGGCCCTCTGACTCCCCCAGCCCACAGACTTGACCCCCAAGTAGGGGCAGCTTTTCCATGAACACTGATCCTGCCTGCCCCCGCCTCCAGCACTTCACCCACCCAGGAGAGGCCTAACTACACGGGTGTAACTTGGTAGAGGGTAAAGATGAGATGCCTGGGCAAGGGAGAGGCCGGGCGCAGAGCAGATGGCCAACGTCTGCCTCCTCTGTTGAAGCCCGTCTGTGGCCCGTGCGCACAATCTGAGTGGCTCCTGACAAGCTCAGCTCACAGGGGAGCCCGGAAAGTTCCATAGTGGGACTGATGTGTCCTGGCTGCCCTGCCCACCTCTGGATCAGGGGAAGCCCACCCAACCTGGGTCCCACCAGCCCCTATGGCAGGTCCAGTAGGGCGTGCTCGGCATAGAGCTTCTGTGAGATGTTGTAGACACGCTCAATAAAGGGCAGGGCCTCGTCTAGCATCTCCACAGCCTGTTGGGAGGACCCAACGTTCATGGACTCCAGGAAGACCTTGCGTGTGGGCAGCGCACAGAAGGCCACGGTGACAGCCCGGCGGATGATCCAGGGGTGGTAGGTGGCCAGCGAGGCATTGTAGGAGTCGGTGCAGAGCGCGGAAGTGCGCGCGTCCTCAGGGCTTGTGCGGACGCCCTCCAGGAAGAGCTGCAGCCAATGAAGCGCGCGGTGTAGCCGTAGCACCGTCCGGCAGCCTGAGTCGGGGTGGCGTGAGCGCCGCTCCAGGTCCACCAGTTGGTTGCCCACTTCGTAGGCAACCATGGCCTGCAGGCTGCTGTAGTGCTCCTGTTGGGGGCCGCTTCGCAGCTGGTCCATAATCTGCAGCTTTGTCACCACGTCTTTGGAGATGAATGAGAAGATGGTGCCCAGACTATTCAGGAACCTGCACGAAGAGAGCAGGCACTCTCAGCATGGGTGTGGGCAAGACCACTCCCACCTCCTGGGCCGCAAGTGAGGATGGCCGATCTGCACTGGACCGACGGGATACAGGTGGGACATGTGGCTGGGGAAGCCCCTCGCGCACCTGACCAGCCCCCTCCAGCCATCGAGGTAGTATTCCAGCAGCACCTCCTCCTTTTCATTGAGACACTGCTTGAAACAGACCAGGACGACTTTCAGATTGAACTCTGACTCCAAGTCATCCATTTTCAACAGGAGCTGGAACACACAGAGGGTTGGGCTGTGGGTTGTCTCCTGGTGAGAAGGCTCCTCTTTGGGTCATTATTTTGGGGAGGGGGAGTGGAGGCAGTTGGAAAGAAACAGCTGGGATCCCATGGCTCTCCAGTGAAAACCCATGAGGACTTCCACCCCCAGGTCAGCCCCTCCTCCCAAGAAGCAACCTTGCTCTGCTTGGGCTACAGCAGGGCCCTTTGCTTTTAACATGGCCCCCCATAACTCAGGCTTGTCAAACCTGATATATCTCACTTGTGGAGAGCATCTCTGCTTGGGTTTTCTTGCTTGTTTATAGCCTGTGTCTCTCCAGGGTGTGTCTGTTCCTACTAACTGGAGAAGTATTTGCTGAGTTCCCACGCAGAGCCAGGCAGCCACCTGGGTGCACTGTGAGTGCAACCAACAGCCCAGCCCACTGGGGTGACAGCCTAGTGGTGGGTGTGTGTGTGTGTGTGTTTTTTAACAAAGACAGGAAGTCCAACACAGCAAGTAAAAGGATGACAACCACGGAGACACAGACTGGGCTGAAATGGGGTGGGGGGGGGCGTCATGCCCTTCCATGCTTGAAGCTATATCCCCAAACCCAGAACAGAGCCTGTGGGGGGTGAGTGTTTGCCAGAGGACAGACACCAGATGTTCTACCCCTACAGAAACTGGAGCCTGGTGAGAATGTAGGAAGAGGGCAAGGAGATGTCATGTCCCACACAGAAGGAAGGCTGGACACAGGCCCTCCCCCGGCCCCAGGGACTCCAGAAGTGCCCCAGGCCACAGAACTCCTCTAGATTCTGCCGGCATTCCCACAGTCACACCACAAACACCCAAGTGCCCGAGGTTAGCAGGTGCCCCTGGACACCCCAGCCCCTGTCTCCCTGGGTGCCCAGGGTGGCACTGTGGTGTGGCTCTGATGGGCCCTGGGGACTAGGCTGTGTCTCATTTCATTGTCCAGGGCAAGCTCTCACCCCTTTGGGCACAGGGGTTCCTCGGCCCTCAGTGCTGGAAGTCTTGTGAGAGCCCGCATGGGAGGAGGCCATTCGAGCTGTGGTGAGAGCCCAGCCAAGAGAACACATGTGGGTGCCTTCCATACCATGGGCAAGTCATGCACTGACCTAAGATCCTGTCCCACAGCTTTAGGGAAAATGGGCCAGCACACTTTGCCCTACCCACCACCCAGGTTGCTGGGAGCATCTGATGGGGCCCAGTGGGTGCTGAGGCCCTGCAGGCCCTACGCCTGTGTCACGTGCCTGGCACTAGGTGGGGAGCTCACCCCGTCTTCAGGTGTGTGGGACAGCCGTGCCTGGCCTCAGGAAGAAGACATTGGGAGGCTTCCAGAATACTCTTCCCCTCTCTCAGGGCCTCAGTGTTCTGTCCACCAAGCAGATGGCCTCTGAGGCCCTCAGGGCTACCTTCCTGGTCACCAGCCATCCTGTGGGCCTGGCTTTCCTGCCCGGAACCTGAGCCAGCAGCCAACGGGAAGTGCCAGCAGCCTTTCAGAGCTTGGAAACAACAGGAAGGGCAGTGGCGGTGCAGCGGGGTCGGGCAGGCTGCCAGCTCTGGGGGAGTGATGCAGGGAATCGCCAAGGCTCCCCCTGGGGCAGTCCATGGCCCCAAGGTCAGGGCTCGTCCTGAGGCTGACGGCAAGCTGAAGGTCCCCAGGAAAAGAGGGCGGCCCTCCGGCACCCCAGGCCCAGCGGGTGGGAGCGGGGAAGTCCTGGAAATCTCGCCTGAGAAGGGGGCTCCAGGTGGCGCCACGCTGGGACCCGGGATTCGGGTAGGGTATGGCCCCTGTCCTGCGCGGGTCCTGCTCCAGCTGAGTCCCTAGGGAGGGGACAGGGGCTCGGGGTCCGAGCCAGCGTTGGAGCCGGGTCCTCGGCCGCCTCCTCCCACACCTGGGGGGTCCCGCTCCGACCCCTCGGCAAGGCCCAGGCCCAGCTCGGTTGGGCTGGGTTTCCCTGGCGCCGCCTTGAGCCCGTCGCGCTCCACTCACCTGCGCCGCCGCTGCTCACCTGTGCCGCCGCTGCTCACCTGTGCCGCCGCAGCAGCCGCGGGGCCGGCAGCCCGGCCCTCGGCCACAGTCCCACCGCCTCGCCGCCGGCCGCCCAATCAGAAAGCCCGTTGCGCGGGCCAGCGTTTCCGTCCGGCGCGCCGGAAGCTGGCGCCGTTGGGATTGCACCTGCGCAGTGCGTAGCCGCGAATCAGGCGCGCGTGGCCGGGACCGGGTCTCGGGCACCGGGGTCTCCTGGGACCGCGGGGGTCCCGCCCGCTGGCTTGGCTTGCCCGACAGGATGCCCGAGATCAGGGTCACGCCCCTGGGTGAGTGCTGGGCGGCGCGAGCAGCGGCCGAGAAAGGCTGGTGGGGGGCTCGAAGGTCCGGGGACCCCTGAACGTGTCTTCCTCGCCGCGCGGCCCCCCGCCCGGCGCCACTGTTTAGTGCACCTTCCTCCTGCCTCTGCGTTCGCGCACTCGCTGCCTTCCACCTGTTCCATATGTCTCGATCCGTTTACCCGTGGACCGTTCCCCCCACGTCAGTCAGCCCTTGTTTTGCTTGACCCGCGCAGCGTTAAAAACAAAAACCAACGTCGTCCCCCGCCCCCCAGCTTGCCTTTTGCGAAAGATACAAGTGCATAGTTTAAAGGCCCAAACGGTACAGCAGTGCGAAGGAGCTACAGCAGGTCACTCAGAATCGGAACAGCCAGGGTCTCTGCACAGGTGCCGGGGGCTTTTCGGGAACCTGCCACGGTCATGTATCCGCAGCATCTTCTAGCAGGGTTGCCCCCACAGCTTCACATGCTCTTTTCCGTGGTGCACTCTCAGAATAGCCCACCCAGCCTCCCGCTGCAGTGGCCTGCCCTTGGCCGACCGGGGCACAGCACGCATCCCGCCCCGCCATAGATGTCCTCACGCCTCTCATACCTGTTGGCTCCGGTTCCCCTCTGGCCGCTTCAGCCCCAGGCTCTCCTCGCACCTGGTTCCTCCCCAGGGGCCTCTGCAGGGTCCTCCTTCCAGCCTCTTTTCCCCTATGGCACCTTTCTCACCACTCACTCTTGAACAGTCCTGTCTTTTTACTGCTTTTACCCCAAATCCTCGCTGGGCAGTGGGGGAGAGGGGGGCATGCCCGTGCCTCTGACTGGTCCTCCCATGCAGGGGCTGGCCAGGATGTGGGCCGAAGCTGCATTTTGGTGTCCATTGCGGGCAAGAACGTCATGCTGGACTGTGGGATGCACATGGGCTTCAGCGACGACGTGAGTCTCAAGGGTGGGCAGCCTCGCATCCAGCCTGCTTCTTGGCGTCGTCACCGAGGGACCTGGGCCTCGGAGTCTCAGGCTCTGACTACAGATGGGGAATAGGGGAGCAAGTGGGCACTGGTAGGAGGGCAGCCCCCACCGTCACCCGACAGGTGGAGCACCTGCATGGGCCAGACTGTACTGGAGCCAGGGCACGGTTGTGGGGTCTCAGCTCTCAGGTACTAGCTCAGCAGCCTGACCCCTGTCCTACATGCTCAGGGGTTCTGAGCAGTTGGTGGCCTGCGTGGGTGTGGCTATCAGACTCAAATGCACCCAGACCCAGGGACCATCCCCATAGCCCCGGCTGCCCCACAGTCACCTGAGCCCTGGGCAGGCGGCATCCTGACACTTCCACTTCTCCCTCCACAGAGGCGCTTCCCCGACTTTTCCTACATCACCCGCAGTGGCCGACTGACTGACTTTCTGGACTGCGTGATCATCAGGTGAGTGCCCTCCCCACCCCCGGACCGACCACCCATCCAAGTGGCATCCTGATTCATGTTGCCCTGAGCCCCTTCTTGTTCCTTTCTGAAATGTGAAGCTGATCCCACAGTAACTGCCTGCTGGTGGTGTCGCTAGATACTTGGGCCTGAGTCCCTTTTGCCCTCTCCCTCTCCCGTGTTCAGGGCCATGTCTGACACAGTGGACCCTCAGTGAGCAGAGGAATGGGGGTAGGGTTGCTGGGTGGGAGGTTGGGGGGCATCCAGCTGACTGGTGCTGCGCCTGCAGCCACTTCCACCTGGACCACTGCGGGGCACTCCCCTACTTCAGTGAGATGGTGGGCTACGATGGGCCCATCTACATGACCCAGCCCACCCAGGCCATCTGCCCCATCCTGCTGGAAGACTACCGCAAGATCGCTGTGGATAAGAAGGGCGAGGCCAACTTCTTCACGTCCCAGATGATCAAGGACTGCATGAAGAAAGTGGTGGCCGTCCACCTCCACCAGACGGTGCAGGTCAGCCCCCCCACCCCCAACTCACTCTGCTGCCATCCCAGGGACCCTTGGAGGCAGAAGGTGAGCGTGGGGCCCAGCTCAGATCCAGCACTGTGAAGGGCCCCTGCCACTTCCTGGCTCTGCCTGAGAGCATGGAAGAGGCCAAAGAGGGCCACTGTGCCATCTGAGCACATAGGGGCAGGCCGGGCTGGTCGGAGACCAGAGTGTGGGCTCGTTGCAGTGGACTGACTCAGGCTGGAGGGGTAAGACTTGAGGCAGGCGAGTGACATCAAATGTAAAATTTATCACAAGGATCATGGATTTGTCTGTTTCTTTTAAGGAGTCTAGGTTTTGCTTGTTATCATGAGTCTGACATTTGGGGTCATCTTATCTTTCAGGTTGAACCCTTTGTTGAGTTGAATCATTCTGTGTATCCTCAATAATGCTTTAATCTTCGAGTTTGCCTTTCTGGTGAAAGCTCACCCCTCCCACACCTTGAATCCTTGCTCTTTTTAGTACTTTTACCCTTTCTGCAGCATATTTTTTTTTTTTTTTTTGGCTGCACTGTGTAGCATGTGGGATCTTAGTTTCTTGACCAAGGATCAAACCCACTCCCCTTGCAGTGGAAGTGCAGAGTCTTAACCACTGGACCACTAGGGAAGTCCCTCTGCATCATATTTTAAATGTGACTCTTTTCCACTGCTTGGGTTTAATGCAACCTGATGGTCTGTCCTGTAGGAGAGGTGTGTACTCCACGTGTAATAATTTGGGATTTAGGTGTATCTTTTTCCATTTACTTTCAGTTTGTCCATCCTGTTCTATGTTTTATTTCCTTTATTGTCTTTTTCCGGACTGAGTTTTTAAAACTCCACTTATCCTCTTATTTTGTTAGTAATTATATGTTCTTTTGTAATTCTTTTTGTGGCAGAGATTACAAAACACATCCATGACAACTCAGCTCTAAGGTACTTGGAACTTTTGCCTCTTTCCTAGACAATGAAAGCGTCTCAGAGCATCTTAAATTCACTTACCCCCATCTACTCACCAGCTCTTATTTCCACCTAGCAGGATTTTAATTTTGTCAGCCTATGAGGCCCCAAGGCCCTCACCATTTGCCAGGTACCATCTCCATTATCCTAGCTGTGTCCCTACTCCTTCCCGTGTTCTTCACTTTGTATTTGCAATGAAGAACATCAGTATGGATCTGCTGGTGACGAATGCTCTCAACTCTATTTGTCTGCAGATGGGTTTATTTCACCTTTATTGTCAAAAGACTTTCTCCCTTAGGTTCAGAATTCTAGGGCAGCAGGTCCTACCAGGATTCATATCTTCCGCAGGTCCTACCAGGATTCATATCTTCCATCTGCTGTTTGTAGGAGAATCCTCTCAGGTGGCTTGTGGGATTCTGTCCTTTACTGCAGACTCTGGCAGGTGGCCATGCTGGCTCTACCTGTTACCTTCCTGCTCAGGTGTGAGGCCCTGGAGCTGCCCCCAGCTCCCTCCAGGCTGAATAGAGATCTTTCTCCTCCAGACCCTCCATTGTCCTCATGTCTATATTTCATGCTGGATAGCCTTTTCTATTTATTTTAGTTCATTAATTATCTTCTTGGTTGTATATAATGTGCTGTTAAATTCATTTGTTGAATTTTGTTTTTAAAGTTGAAATGTACTTGACTTACAATATTATATGTTGCAGATATGCAGTATAGTGACTCACAGTTTGTAAAGGCTATACTTCATGTATCAGTCAGTTCAGTTCAGTCGCTCAGTCATGTCCAACTCTTTGCGACCCCATAGACTGCAGCATGCCAGGCTTCCCTGTCCATCACCAACTCCCAGAGCTTGCTCAGAGTCATGTCCATTGAGTCGGTGATGCCATCCAACCATCTCATCCTCTGTCATCCCCTTCTCCTGCTGCCTTCAATCTTTCCCAGCATCAGGGTCTTTTCCAATGAGGCAGTTCTTCCCATCAGTTGGCCAAAGTATTGGAGT